TGGGGATGCCCGGGGTCCCCGCGTAGGACAGGGGGCTGGAGCACCTTCCTGCCGTTGTGGAGCTTCGGGAAGTTTCTGTTCGCTGCGCTGATCGCTTCTTGTGAGGGGAAAGGGCGGGCCGGGCCTTCCCCGTCCCGGGGAGGGGGGTGAGGGTGGGGCCCCCCGGGGGTGTCCGGCCTGGTCGCGAAGGCCTCAGGGCCTGGCACGGCTCCTCGGTTTTCTAGGTAAAAGCTATTTCAGTCTTGAAAGAGCTGACCCTCCGCGCTGTGCCTTTCTCATGTGAAGCCTTGTGCCGTTATTTCATGGTGATCCTCACCCGCATGTGATGTCAGATAAAATTAGTACCCTTCGTTCCTCGTTACACCGCCTTGACTGATTTTTCAAATGGTATTTTACATACGGGGGGGCATGAGCTGTTGGGTTTCTTTCGATAACCTTGACCACCCCGATTACAATATTTGGAAGAAGCTGCTGCTTCCACCTCTTCAATTTCCAGCCTGTGGCAGCTTGACCTGAGCCGGCTAAATTGCACGGATAGGAAGATTCCTGCATGTACTCACTCAGATTATATAAAAATATCTGCAAGGGTAATAACTCTTGTGATGCTGAGTTGTTACTTTTTCATCCTAACCTACTTGTACTTCTCTTCTAGTCCGTGATTGCTGCTCTCTTGTGCTGGTTCAGAAATTAAAAGTTAAGATTCTTCTGTGCGCCTTTGCTGGTGTTTATATTTGGTGGCAAATTTCAGCAATTCTTACACAAAATCCCGTTTTCGCAAAGGCAGAATACCGAGGTCCCTCTAGAACCAGCAAGGAGCTGCATTTCCTTGCTCATGTTATAATTTTTTTTCCCCCCTACTAACATTTCAACATACAAGAAGTTTTCCCTATTGTTACTGTTTTTACAGAGCCTTTATTTTCTGCCTTTGGCTTTTCTAGGGGTGGCGTATGTGTGCGCCAAACTCATTTGAAAAGCAGCAAGCTGAGTAGCTAAACAGTTTTTAGGAAAATAACAATTGCAGAACAAAAGTAAAGAGACCCCAGATACGTTGCAGTTTACGAGAAGACGTTTCAGTGCGGATGATCGCTTGTGGTCTTGTTTCTTTTTCCGTTTAGACTGATGAAAAAGATGAGGGAAAGTTCTGACAGGAACCTGGATGAAAAACATGGCAAGCTCAAGAGAAGAAAGCGGTGCCCGCTCTCCTGATTCAACAGTCTCTTCTCTTTTAACCAGCTACAGCACTGACAGCAAGAATTCCTCCCCAGACAGCTTGATTCACTACAAGGACAAACTTTACAGCTCTGCCTCCGAGGCTTTGGACGCTTATATCAAAGATTTCGATTTAAGTCTCACCTCTTCGGAAGTAAGCACCGGCAAAATCCGCATATTTCGAAGCGCACCCAAGCGACGGAAACTTTCCAAACGTGCCCCAAAACCCCACGGTGCGTCTCCTGCAAATATGTTATTTAATAAGTTTGGATATTTGCTGTTTTTTTGATTTTCATTGCGGATATTTGCAACACCAGGCGTGTTTTGGTGGAGGAATATTCCCCACACGCAACTGCTGGCAAGTCTTTGTGGGAGAGGAAACGATGTTTCATGTTCTGTCTTTATTTTTTTTGTAAATGCTGGGGGAGGATTCACGACCGTGCTCATAAATGCTGTCAAAAATTCCAGAACGTTAAAGAGAAATTGCGTTTTCTCTGTGTGAATATGTGCTAATGACAGTGTAAATCGTTGCTTAGACCTGGAGTCTCGGGGGGGAAAAAAAGAAAAAATCTGTTTCCTTTCCACACTAAGAAACATCAGCATCTAATTAATTGAAGGAGTTTTCCTTAAACGCTGCTTTGTCTGAGAACAAAGTTTGCCTCTTATCCCTTGATTTTTATGGAAGGTACTTTTGGGTCTGAAGTCTAACAAAATACACGGTTCTGGATGTGGAACTGAAAAGAGCTAGATTAAAAATTTAAAAGCTGAAAATGTTATATACTATGAAAAGAGGAGTAACTCTTGACCAGCAAGGTTTTTGCTGAGATTTTGGTTAGAAATGGAACCACTCTTGCAAGAGCTGTAATTCAGTCCCTCCTGGCAAAGAGTCTATTTCATCTTTAAATTATTACTTCCTTTTAGATCTTTTCTTTGTACAGCAATTAATGTAAAACAACTTTGTTTTTTCAGCACTGGATGATTTTAATCTGCACGTAGGACCGGGTTCTCGCGCTTCACCCTCTAGCAGACAGAGCGAGTGTGACGTGGACTTGATTAGTCTCGCGACGGACGATCTGTTGGCGTTCCCAGCGGACGGATCGCTGCCTTCCGTCTGGCATTCTCCTTTGAAAGCGAGGCATCAACGTTGTGAGGGGAAAGGACAATCCTTTAAAACACTTCCGTGCCCTGGCCAAACCTCACCGCTCCGCAGCGACAGCGCTTTCGCTCTCCGGGAGAGCGGCAAAGACCGGAATCCGCGCAAAGATTTCCGCAAAAACGAACGCGACGTGTGTGGATACGACTCCGTCTCGTCTAAAGGAAGTTTGAGACCCTCATCTTTTGAGGAAAACTCTAATACTTTTCCCGTTCAAAACTACCCGAGGTGGCTTACCAGTCAGAAGTCTGACCTAAGCGTGTCGGGGATAAGCAGCATTCCCAATTTTCCCTACCCAGCCTGGCTTAAGAGTTACAACCTTTTGTCTGGTTCAGCCAAGGAAACCGATGGTCGAAATTTTGCCACGCGAGGCGCGGCTCCTTCTTCTCGAGCTTTTGAGATTCTGGAAGAAAGATGCTCTGCAGGTAAAGACAGTTCTGGTTGGTTGGTGTTTTTTTTTTTTAATCTGGGTGTGAGAAGTGAGAGTAGCTTCCAATTTGCTAATTTGTTTTTGAAAGGCACCAAAAAGCCGGTCGGAGGTGACTGTATTTCCTATAATTTGTGGGTTTTTATTTTGATTTTAAGAGTGTAGTGGATAAAGACATGTATATTCTTTAAACCAAGTCTGCGCTGTGCGGTAGATCCGCCTTTGACAAATGACTCGAAGCACTTACTAGCAGTTTACTAAGTCAAACAGCTTTTATACTCTGAGATTTCCTATATAAATCAGCGTTCCTTTTACAGCAAAGAATATTTATTACAGTGGCATGGTTGGTACCTTGCTGCAAGATGATGACAGTAGTTCCAGAGATATTTTAAGAGAATTTCAACATTAAATTAAATCACATGAAACGTAACCTCGAGAGAGGTTCCTAAACATAATTTGAATGAACCTGTCAAATTGGCAAGAAATACGTAATTTCTCAGGGAGTCTTTTTCTCTACACAGGCAGCAGGAGATATTTGTAACTCTTATGTTTAGGTTATCCAGTTTATGGAAGGGTTTTGCTTGGGAATCTCTCGCATACCTCGTCTGTTGAATCTTTGTTTTATTAAATCTCCGCAAGATTTGCTTTGATAGGAGGGAGGAACATTTTGAAGTGTTAATTACCATCACTTTGGTCCGAATTTCTCAATTTAAAAAGAAAGATATATTTTCTTTGGTGTGGAAATCATAAATATTGATCTCTCCGTTTTTTCCAAGATGTTTTATATAAACAAAGTTAAAATGTTTTGCCTTCAGAGGGACAAAATGCTGATATAATAATGCCCATAAATACCTTTCTAATGTATGAGCTTAAAATACAGGGTTCAATTTTATTTTTTTCCACACAGAAAATGTTGCCAATCTTGAACAGGCTCGGTATTCCATAAAATTTAAAGCAAATATGGGGAAATAAAAAAAAAAAAATCCCTTTGAAGAGGGTTGAACACGTTGTGCCCTTGTTTTTTAGAAGACCAGCTTGAGCTGCTCCCCGCGAAGGCTGACGGAAGTCCCGAGAGTTCAAGCGAAGATTTGTCAAATAATCTGGAAAACGCCGGCAGTCCTTCTACTACGGATATACTAGGGGCAGAAAGACCATGGGAAAACGCTCCAGGTACTTGGTAAGTAAGCACCTATTTTTTGGACTCATTTGCCCATGAAAATGTATTTGATTTGTGCTGTGTAGAGATTGCAAGTGATGGTGATGTGACACGGACCTGAAGGAAGGATTTACTACCAGGTTTCTTGCTCGTGCTAAACGATATTTCGAGGGCAAGGATATCAGTGCGATGCTTTTCCTTTTCCGTTGCCTTGCGAGGAGCGCTGCCAAAATTGCTTAATTCCTTTTAATAACACTTCTCATCTCTTACTGAGACACAAAGCTATTTATTTCAAGAGAATTATTCTGGAACCTTCCATTAACGGTTTTACTAGTTTGTAAGGAACCGCTTAGGAAAAGCAAGTTCATAGTGGGAAGTCTTTTTTTTTTTTTCTTTTTTTTAATAAAAAGTCCAGTTGAGAGAGAGGCTAATGATCTAAGCTCCTGTGAGCCACCCACATAGAACATCCCTGGAAATCAGACTTTATTAATATCTTTTTCCTTGAAGCTACTGCCTTCTTAAAGACTGGAGAAGAATTAGAAGTCAGTAAGCAGAAAGTCTCTGGTTTTCTTCCGATGCTGAATATTAATGGCAGAAAAACAGGTGTAAGAAAACACTTCCCTGTGGAAATGACAGCCAAGAAATCACCTTTTTTTTAGTTGATTTTTTTCTTTATGGCTACTCAGGAGACCAGGTTTTCATTCTCTCGGCGGCACTAGAAGAAATAGTTTTTGTATTTGACACCAAGAGCCTACTCTGCACCCCCTGATGTGGTGATCAAATATATCTGGTTTCATCATACTTCACTACACCCTAAAGCAACTCTTCTAATTTGTAAACCTGTCGTTATTCTCCGTGGCGTGTTTGGTGCAGGTTTAGCAGACCGCTGGTGCCCGTGTGCCGTGAGGACGCAGAGAACGCTCTGCCGGTCGCCAAGGCAGATATTGTACATAAGTTCCTGGAGGACTGTTTAAATGACAAAAATAAGGTCAGTAAGATGAAGTATTTATTTCTGAGAGTGCCCAGAACATGTAGGACTGGTAAATATTAGAAGGAGTAATACCTGTAAATTGATTTTCTTTATAATACACAAATGAGGCTGACTGCAGTCGTTTAGTCGTATTTGAGCACAATCAATTAATACAATTATTAAATCCTTTAATCTTACCCTTGGGCACAGTCACAATTAAAAAAGTATGTAACTAGGAAATGCTTTGCTGAGTTTGTTAGTTAATTTGCTTATTTTTACACTCCATGTTTAAATAATAGTTTGTCCTGCCTCGAGTAAAGGAAGACTTTTTTATATCAATATATTAAATACCACGAATCTCCCTAAAACTACTCGTTTCCTTGAAGAGTTTCTTGACAGAAAACCTAATGATGTGCAAAAATAATTGAAATTATTCGGAGTGTTGCTTCAGTGTCATTTCATCCTTCGTGTTTCCCGTTCTGTGAGATCATCAGGCATTTCTAGACATGAGTATTTCTAGATTATCCACAAATTCTTGTCACTGTGAGCTAATTTGCTTTTCTGATGATAGAAATACTACCTAGATGCTAATGATCCATGTTTAACAGACAGAAGCTCACTTGCTCTGTCAGTTGGGAAATGTTGAAACACCTTCCAGCGCTACAAGGACTTAGAGTCTTAATATTTTCAATTTCTTTTACACAACACTGGTGGAATTAGTCTTTAAATAGCTTCAGGGAAACTTCCGAAGCCGATTGTCGGATTCGCTCTGCGCTATGACCAAATTTTTTGGCTTTTGCTTTAGGAGGGCGCTTTGTCTGGAGGTCAGCGTCACCGGCCCCTCGAAGCTTTGAAGCGAACGTTGTTTGAACTTCAAGCAATCCAGGGGAGCTTAAGCCAGGCTGAAAGCGCTGAGCTAAAGGGAGAGGTAGAAAAAGTAAGTCGCTGGAGAAGTTTGGCGGGTACCTCACAGAAATCTTCCTACCTGGGAGGAGGGTATCAAGGAAATGGAGCTTCCTAGTGGAGTCTTTCCATTTACGGGGCATAAATTGAAAGGGGAGGTTCCCGCTGGCAATTGGGAGCAACTTTTTCACCCTTCTGACGCTGGAATAAGTTGCTCAAGAGAGGAGTTCAAGGTTTGACTGGATAAAGGTGAGAGCAACCTGCTCTGACCTCTGTTTTGAGCGGGAAACCACTTCCCCGGGGCTCTCCCGCTGCGAATTACTTTATGATGCTGTAAAGTTGATGCTGATACTTGCCGATGCCGCGCGCTGTAAAAATTCCCTGTTTTCTGTCGTCTTCAGTTTTCTTCCGGCAGTTGCCAATATGGTTTTGGTTGTTTTTTTGTTGTTTTTTTTTCCCTTAAGCTTTCTGAAAAAGCGGAGGCTGAATTGCAACTGTGCGACAGTGAGACAACCCCTCTTACTAACTCTATTCGGAAGTAAGCGACCACTGATTTTTCTGACTTCTTGTGGCGGAAGGTCCAGGAGAGGATTGACAAATCAGCTGAGCGAGTTGTCGTGTCATCTGAGAGCTTTTCTTCAGAATAAAGCCAACAGTGAATCACTAAACCCATGGCAGAAATTTCTCTGGTTGCAGCAATGCGCTCTGTAAATAAATGTAAAGAAACATTTGCATTTCGCCTGTACCGACAGATTAATCATGGGCTTTAAAATCATCAGGTTTGGAAAATGGGCCAAAATCTTTTCCTCCTTTTTTTTTTTTCCCTCCTTTTTTTTGCTAGAAAGAGAACATACTCCATTA